CTTTCTCGCCGGCTCGGCGCGGCAACGGCGGGGTTCGGCGGAGACGGCGCCGTCCCAACGGCGGCGACGACGGCGTCCGCGGCGGCCGCGCTCCCTCTCCCCCTCTCCTTCCCGTCTCGTCGGCTTGGCGCAGCGACGGCGGGGTGCGGCGGAGACGGCGGCGACGGCCGTCCCTCCCCCTCTCTCTCTCTCCCCGTCGGCCTCGACGGCGACGGCGCCCTCCCAACGGCTGCGATGGCGTCGGCTTCATCCGCGTGCGGATCCGGCAGCGGCGGCTCCCTCCGGCGGCGGTGGTGGCGTCGGCGGCCGCCCTTTTTTTTTTTTTTGGCAATTTTTTCCATGGCTATTGCTAACCGAATAGGATTGTGCATGGACAAAAGATGGACGAAAATTAGATGTTACAACCGCAAAAATACGAATATTTATATTAGTTATATAGATTATAGATTTTTAGTTTTAGAAACTTGGGCTCGGCCTGCTTTGGAAATTAAGAAGTCCAACCACGATCCGAACCACCAAATTTTTTTAAGGAAAACATGCAATTTAACTCCCAGTTGATCTTTTGTTTATAATAATATCTCAAATAGATGTGCACGCCTGAAGTTTCTCTATGAAGAACAGAAGATAATTCATGCAAATATTTTATCAATGCACTAATAATGCTAGTCAGATTTCTATATATCTGTATAATAGCTAGCATCATCGTTTTCACCTTTTCCTAATTGTAGCTTATGCGTAGTGAATTTCCAATACATGAATCTACAATCTGCATAGCAATATTTACGTATTCACAGTCGTTAAATTTTCGTTAAATTCCAATTTTCGTTAAATTCCGATTAAGCGTATGTATACCAATTAATCATTTGGTGGTACCCTCTCCGTCGAACATGTGCATTCGTCTCTTCACAATACTAGCTTAATTTGTATCCCTCTACCCTATGTCGACCCACAAAGTATTAAAACCAATGAGAAATGACTCCGCTGAGAGTATTGACGCCAGTGCCATCGTCGTCCGGCGAAGTCCAGCGAGAGGGGATTCGATTGGATCGGAAGCAATTTAGCAAAGCGGCGGCGGCGGCGGCAATTTTTACTTTTGTTTTTCGTTTCGAGGAAGGAACCAGGAAAAACTTGGGTTCGGCCTGCTAGTCCAACCACGATCTGAACCAACAAAATAGGGAAAAATTCTAATTTGACTCCCTTAAATAGGTCGGTAGAACGTAGAGGTCGAGATGGGGGACAAGGCTTCAGATTTTGACATTACCAAAACTTAATAGGTTAACAAAACAAATATTATATTGCTATTCAAACCTTAACAAAATTTGGTACTTTCAGAAACTTCCTCTTATACAAACCCTACCGAATTTTAATAAGGTTACAAACTAAACGCATCCAACACTACCAAAATTTGGTAACACCAAAATGTGCCAACTTTTGGCGGTGCCAAATTTTGGCAAGGTTGATATTTTGACACCAAACCAAACAAGCTTCAATTAGATGCTATAGATGAAATGGATCATTGGGATCCGGTTTGACGTCGAAAACGAGGCGGCGCTCGGCTCCAGGCGATGCCAAACAGAGCAAAGTGGCGTGGGCGCAGAGCTCGGCGTGGTTCGGGCCGCATGATAGCCAGCGGAGAACTTGGCGGATCTTGAAGGGTGGCAGAACGACGCCCAAGGATCGTGTTCCGCCGGGTCTTGACAGCAAGATTGGCTTTGGATTGCTGGCGGAGTGTATGCACGTTAGGTGCTTGATCGACGCTCCGCCATGGCTCCAGGAAGGAGGGAGCGAAGCAAGGCATCAAGGTGTGGTTGTGGAGGTGGGTAGTGGCATGAAACGGCGGCGGCGGCGTGCCGTGGTTGGCGCCCGGCTGGTAAAGGTTGGATCGAAGTTGGGCTATGGTGAGAGGTTATGGATTTGGGCCGTGCATTCAGGCTCACTGGCCGGGGCAGACATTGTGTCGAACACCTTGTGGGTATGAACAGTGTAGTTTTCGCATTTTCCAGAAAATTTTCAGATAATTGATTAGATAGAATGGAAGGGTTTTTTTAGAACTCATGAATGGCAGGGTTTACTGCCCAAGACAATGTCTCTTGGTTGTTGTCAATCGGTACACCACAGAGCACAGAGAAATCTGATGACAAAAGGACGACACCCCATATAATGCTGTTTGGAATATATTTACTGAGCAGCAGATAACTTCAAACTGATCAAAGGAGACACTCGTATATGCTGATGGGGATAAGATGTACGGAAAGACGATATATATCCAGCACACATAATTCAACCAACCAAACAGAAGATCAAAAAAGAGAAGATTTGGGAAATACCATTGCAAAGATACGTGAGTTGTAAAATATCATCGTACGTGAGAATGACATATGGGGCCTGTACCCACATTTCAGTGACACATGATGTATTTTCTAACTCTGTGATTTTTGTGATGGTACTAGGCAAATTAGCCCATCAAAAAATTAGCTAAAGTGTGGCACAAAAGTATGTCAAATGATAACAATGTTAGTATAGCATCCAAATTTTTGAAGGCAAACACACGGTTCAGAACTTCAAACGAGCGAGAAAAAGGGGGGACAATTTCTCACAACAAGTGAACTTCGAAAACGATCAAAATTCCATGCACTAAAGGATAGTAAATGATGAGAAATTTAACGATATGCCACTCAATAGAAGTGGCTTTAACAAAATGCCATCCTCTAGAATGACCTTATAAAAATACCACTCAATAGATGTGGCTCTTTAACATAATGTCACTTTAGGCTGTTTGGAAGCTTTTAATCAGAAATGATGTGTGAAATGACAAAATTACCCCTAGTTCCTTTCTCACATGTCCAGAGTAGAGGAGGGGCCGATGTCTGTGGGGACTCCTTCCCCGGTGGCAACAATGGTTTGCGTGGGCGGCAACGCTGTAGTGGGGGCGACCACGACGCCCTCTCCACAAGCGCCAAGGCCACCTCCGACCACCTCGCTGCATCTGGTTGCGGCGACGTCCATGGCCACTCCCTCTTCTTCTTCGCTCCACCCTCGCTTCTACCTCTCCGCCATCGACGAGGACCGTCCCTGGTACCAGGCCGACAACGATGCGGCGGGGCTCGAGGAGCTCCTCACCGCATGCCCCTCCTCGCTAACGGGCCCACGCTGTGGTACCAGCTCGACGACGACGTGGCAGGGCTCAGGGAGCTCCTCGCCGCGTGCCCCTCCCTCGCCGACGAGCCCGCGCCATGGTACTCCTTGGCTCGCGGCACGGAACCGCTAACCCCGCTCATGGTCGCCACCGCGTACGGCTCAGTGGCTTGCCTCGACGTGCTCCTCTCGCCGCCCTACCTCGTGGACCCCAACCGCGCCTCGGCCTCATCGCTCTCCACCCCACTCCACCTCGCCGCCGCGGGAGGGGCTACCTCTACCCCCACATCGGTTTCCCGCCTCCTCGCCGCTGGCACCGACAATGACAACGACGAGGTCGAAGAGCGACAAGGTGAGGAAGGTGAGGAAGAGGCATTTCGGTCATTTCACGAGCGTAGTCTGGAAAAAAAATATAAAAAAAAGCATCAAAACAGCCCAAAAGTGGCATTCTATTAAAGAGCCACCTCTATGGAGTGGCATTTTTATAAGGTCGTTCTATATGATGGCATTTTGTTAAAGCCACCTCTATTGAGTGGCTTATTGTTAAATTTCTTGTAAATGATTAGGGAGAGCTCGAAATCTGCAAAAATTATCGGATAATTCGGGTGAATTTGAGAGGGGCAGTGTGGATTTACAAATGATCCGATTTGAAGAGCTACTTGTTTTTTTTTTCTCCTTTGGATTTATGGGCTATTTCAGTTTGTTGCTACTTAAACCTTACCAAATTTTGGTATGGCAATAAACTAAACACACTTCAACCATTACTACTTTACCAAAATTTGATAATTATAGAAGCTTTCTCTCTTAAAACTCTACCAAATTTTGATAAATGCATCAAAGCAAACAAAGCTTATAGTATTATACTATCAAAATTTGGTAATGCTAAAATGTATATAAATTTGATATTACCAATTTAGTATGGTTGATTTGGGAAATAAAGCGAACAAGCCCTCGTGTGACCACCTGTGTGCGCTGGAGAGATCTGGACCGTCCGTTTGATGCTGGCCGTTGGATCTGAGCCGTCGGAGGCCTCGTGGATTAGGATATCATCAGTGTTGTTGTCTTGTGGGTTGGACAGTAGACTGCTGATAAGACCGGGAATCTGGAGTCAGAAAACTTTTCGTCCAGAAATCAACACTGGATTTTTGGCTTTGCTCTCACTCGTTGAGCTTCGTTGGATGGTTAGTACTACTTCGGTACTAACGGGTTACTTTGATCTTAAGGTCTTCTTTTTTGGCCCAATCAATCACTGAAAATAGAGTTATAAAAAATAACTAAAAATTGCTTTCTTCAATATCAGTCCTTTAAACCACCTCAAATACTCTTTCCTTAAAAGAAAAAACTAGTACTTACAATTGCACCACAGTGTAGTCCAATTTCAACATTTCGGGGAGTTTCTCTCGGCTGACACTATTTCGTCCGAAATTTACATAGATTTTCTTTATTTTTTAATATAGTCAAGCTATTCAAATTTGATAAATATTTGATTGCTTATTGTAATATTTTGAACCGAATTTTTTTAAAGGGAAATAAACCGAAATTTTCAACTCTGAAGGGAGGTGATGGGATGCGCGACCCTTCTCTCATGCACATGGGTGGCCCTCACTGCACGAGCTCAATTTCAGATGATCATGAGGAGCTAAGCTCGATTTCTGGCGTTTTCAGCATGCCTAGCTCAAGACCATACAACGTCCCTCCCCTGCACGCGGGGGTAAGATTAACAGCCTCATTTCTTCGCTAATGCTTATGCTTATCAACTAATTTTTAAATTTTTAACTTTAAATTTGATGTTAATTTTGAGTTTTTTTTATCGAAGTTTATTTTTCAGTCTTTAATTTTAAATCGCTAAGAACACGTATGTAAAATTTCTATTCACAAATTATCTTTCATTTATAAATATGCCGTTTGTCTTATTCCATCAATAAGCCGAACAACGGGGGCCTCAGGCTCAAAGCAGGTAGCTAGAACACACGCTGTACTGTGCATTTCTGTAAATCATTTTTTTTTACGAAAGAATTTTTTCCATCTTTTAGCTGAAGTACCTAAACAAGTAGAGATTCCAATTTCACCCATTAATTACGACGAGATAAATACAACCATTTATGATTTATCTACGTAGATACCATACGCCCTCTTGAAGCAAAGCAATGGCGTGAGGCAGCAGCCCGGGTTTGCTTCCTGAAGCAATCCTCTCTGCCGTAAACCAGGCGTCTCAAATACACCTGATCAAAGAAAAACAACAAGAACAACAAATCAGGAGAGCCCAAACTCCAATCCGGAAGACGCTAGCGTGCGCGGAAACATCGCGTGAGACGCCAAGCTTTTGCCTAATTGCCTCCCAGGGGAGGCATCCAACGCTGTCCGTCCATTCTCCCCTCCGCGTTTCTGATGACGAACTGACTAGCGACAATGATCGCCCTCTGCTACAGGCTACAGCAGCTTAAGCACGGTGATCATCGAGGACACCCTAGTAATCAATCAGTCAGCCATACACGGCTAATCAATCAGCCAAAGACATAGGACTTGTTTTGTTTGCTACCATGCCAAAATATTAATAATGCCAAACCATAGGTAAATTTGATAGTGCCAAATATTTTAGCAATTTATGTGTCTTATTGGTATATTTTGATAGCAAACTAAACACTAGCCAAACTACTATTCAAAATACCAACGATTTAGTGAGAATTTAGACTATTCACCATCAAATTCACGTGCCTCAACTTTTTTACCACCCAATCGGCATACCCGCTATAATATGTCATTAGGACTGTTAATTAGTCCATTTGGTACCACTTTCATGTTTTTTTTTACTGTGTTTCTCATTTCTTAATTTCATTTGTATATTTTTTTCAAGATTTGTGGACGTTTTTGCCCCTGGGCCCACCTGTCATAACCAAAGAGAGATATTTCTCTCTGGATCGATCGATCCCTCCAGTCTCATCCGTTCGCCGCCAACCCCGCCGCCGCCACTCACCTCAGCTTGCCGCCTCACCACCGAGCGCCGCCCCCAAACGCCGCGCCATCACCCCGCCGCCGCATCATCACCCAGGCCTGGCGCCGCTGCCCAGGCCAAGCGCCTCCCCCGTGCCTGGAGCCGCCGCCCAGGCCGAGCAGCTCCCCCGTGCACAAACACAATTAGTAAATGACATTGGGCACAAACACTATATATTGATTAAACAAGGTTAGTTTCTCAGTTCAGAAGATTTAGTGAAGCGACCAAGGTGGCAGGTAAAGCTCTCACATGGTGGAAGCAGTGGTAGAGCCAGATGAGCTGCACGTCTGGAGGCGGCACCAGCATCGGCGCCTCCCCTTCCGCGGGGTGGTGGCACGGCGCTCGGGGGCGGCGACCTGGGGGCGGCGCTCGGTGGTGGCCGGGCATGGGCGAGTGGCGACGGCGGCTAGCTGCGGCGGCATTGGGCGGCGGAGTGGGGGTGCTCGGCGGCGGGGTTGGCGGTGCCCGGCGGCGAGGTTGGTGCTCACGGTGACGAGACTGGAGGGATCGATCGATCTAGAGAGAAATATCTCTCTTTGGTTCTGACGGGTGGGCCTAGGGGCAAAAACGTCCACAAATCTTGAAAAAATATGCAAATGGAATTAAGAAATGAGAAACACAGTAAAAAACCTGAAAGTGGTACCAAATAGACTAATTAGCAGTCCTAATGATATATTATAAAGGGGTATGCGGATTGGGTGGTAAAAAAAGTTAAGGCACGCGAATTTAATGGTAAATAGTCTATATTCTCCCGATTTAGTAGACCACATTTTGGCATCAAACCAAAATAGACCCTCTCCCAGAATTTGTAAATGGCTTTGTGGTTCGTGATATCACTGAACCTGCTGGGTGAATAAAGTAAAAAAAAAAACCCATAAATTGGCCTTCTGCAAGATCTCGTCGTCTTGCCCAAACTATAGCCTTCGATCTTTCCATCAGGACCGCATGGGGGGAGAGCAGGGGCAAGTATGAAATGGAGTTCAGATTCAGATTCTAGAACAGTCTGAACATGCGACGACGACGATGGCGATGTATCTGAACAATCTGGTCCTCTCCCTCTCCTCCCGGGCGGGCTTCCACGCGGCTGAGTTTCAGGCTCCCAATCTGCAGCTCCTCCCAGAACCTTACTCTGATTGATTGGTTCATCGTTTCCATGGCTCCAATGAATGCAACGTGTTGTTCAGATTTTCTGAATCTTGTTCTCAATCCGGAGTACGTGCTGTAGCAGCAGCAATCTGTCCCTGATCTGAGAATTTTAGACACTCGTAGATTCGCTGATCAATCATTCCGTTCCCTTCGAGTGGTCTAGATTGAGCTTAATCATCCTGCTACTCGAATCAAATCTTCAGCAAGTGAGAGCTAGATAATTCAGAAGAAATCAACATATTCTTCGCGAAAAAAAGAAATAACCGATGAAACCACGGTAATTAGGTTCTTCGAATCACCGGGAGAGTAGGAAAAAACGAGCTAAAATCCCACATAGGAGGAAACGGTTAAAAACGGCCACTCCGCGTCTCCGCCGCGAGACTAGCTCTCGCCAGTCCACGTAGCCCAATCCACAACCGCCACGTGCTCCGACAATCCCGCCCGTCCATCGCCGCGGCCCCGGCCTCATCTCGACCACTCGTTTCCTCCCTTCACACCAGCCACGTGGCACTCTCTCGAGAGCTCCCGCCCGCCTATATAAACTTGTTCGCGCTCGGCTCCTCCTCCTCATCGACCTCCACCCCACATTGAATAATTATTTTTAATAATTTTAGTTTTTTTTTTTTGGCTTTAGATATATTCCCAATCCCCAACCTCCCAATAATCCGATCTCTCCCAGTTCTGTTCGGATCAAGGCTGTGTCGATCGCAAAAAAGAAAAAAAAAACAATTTCCTTTTGGGGTGGTTCATCTGTTGATCACTTCTTTGTTTCCCGCGTTTTGTTGGGGATTCGATTTTCGGGTTAAGATTTTCTACACGATGGCCTTGAACTTGGCTCAGAGCGCCGCGGCGGCAGCGTGCTTCGCGACCGCCGGTGATGCGCGGCGAGCTGCTTCGGTGGTCGCCATGCCGTCGTCGTCGTCGTCGGCCACGACGAGCCTGAGGATGAAGAGGCAGGCGGCGTGCGAGCCGGTGGCGTGCCGGGCGGTGGCCAGGCACGTGGCGGCGGCGGCGGCGAGCAGCAGGAGGAACGGCGTGCCGGTGTTCGTGATGATGCCGCTGGACACGGTGAGCAAGTGCGGGAGCGCGCTGAACCGGAGGAAGGCGGTGGCGGCGAGCCTGGCGGCGCTGAAGAGCGCCGGCGTGGAGGGGATCATGGTGGACGTGTGGTGGGGCATCGTGGAGAGCGAGGGCCCCGGCCGGTACAACTTCGACGGCTACGTGGAGCTCATGGAGATGGCCCGCAAGACCGGCCTCAAGGTCCAGGCCGTCATGTCCTTCCACCAGTGCGGCGGCAACGTCGGCGACTCCGTCAAGTACGCATCTCTCGTCTCCTTCCTCGATCATCTATCTCATCCTTCTCCTCTAACCTCTTCTTGTTGTTGGTGTGGCGTGCAGCATCCCGCTCCCGAGGTGGGTGGTGGAGGAGATGGAGAAGGACAACGACCTCGCCTACACCGACCAATGGGGACGCCGCAACTTCGAGTACATCTCCCTCGGCTGCGACGCCATGCCCGTCTTCAAGGGCCGCACGCCCGTCGAGTGCTACACCGACTTCATGCGCGCCTTCCGCGACCACTTCGCCTCCTTCCTCGGCGACACCATCGTCGTAAGTAGGAGGAAGGACTCTTTTGATATCGTTGCCGTTTCGCCGGCGGCGACGACGACGCTGATCATCCGTGCGTCTCCTTGTGCAGGAAATCCAAGTCGGCATGGGCCCCGCCGGCGAGCTTCGGTACCCGTCCTACCCGGAGAGCAACGGCACCTGGAGGTTCCCCGGCATCGGCGCCTTCCAATGCAACGACAGGGTAACTAATCTCCGACGAGCAAAAACTCCATTTGGGTCGTCATGGATTCGAGAAAAACTCTTATCTGGATAAATTTTGACGTCCTGTGGTGCAGTACATGCGTAGCAGCCTGAAGGCGGCGGCGGAGGCGAGGGGCAAGCCGGAGTGGGGCCACGGCGGGCCGACGGACGCCGGCGGCTACAACAACTGGCCGGAAGACACGGTGTTCTTCCGCGGCGACTGCGGCGGGTGGAGCACCGAGTACGGCGAGTTCTTCCTGTCGTGGTATTCGCAGATGCTGCTGGAGCACGGCGAGCGCGTGCTGTCGGGCGCGACGTCCGTGTTCGGCGACGGCGCCGGCGCCAAGATCTCGGTCAAGGTGGCCGGCATCCACTGGCACTACGGCACGCGGTCGCACGCGCCGGAGCTCACGGCGGGGTACTACAACACGCGGCACCGCGACGGCTACCTCCCGATCGCGCGCATGCTGGCGCGCCACGGCGCCGTGCTCAACTTCACCTGCGTGGAGATGCGCGACCACGAGCAGCCGCAGGAGGCGCAGTGCATGCCCGAGGCGCTCGTCAGGCAGGTGGCCGCCGCGGCGCGCGCGGCGGGCGTCGGGCTCGCCGGGGAGAACGCGCTGCCGCGGTACGACGGCACGGCGCACGACCAGGTGGTCGCCGCCGCCGCCGACCGCGCGGCGGAGGACCGGATGGTCGCCTTCACCTACCTCCGGATGGGGCCCGACCTCTTCCACCCGGACAACTGGCGCCGGTTCGTCGCCTTCGTCCGCCGCATGTCCGAGTCTGGCTCGCCGCGGGAGGCCGCCGAGAGCGCCGCGCACGGCGTCGCGCAGGCCACCGGCTCGCTCGTGCACGAGGCCGCGGTCGCGCTCCGGAGCTAGCACGGTCAGACGCTCATATACACCGTCGCCTCGAGGTCGGATTCCGATGTGGGATCATTCGATCTCCCTTTTTTTTTTCTTCTTTTTGCCATTTTGTACAGCCTTTTGGGGAGCTTTGGATTTGTGCTTTTTGTCTCGGGAGGAAAACCGCTCTGGAGGTCGAAGAGAGCGTCATTTTCCTCCCGTTGAAGATCACGAATCATTTACGTTAGAGATGATGTAATTAAGCAGGGAGGGGAGGGGAACACACACACACTGGCACTCAAAAGTTGTTGTCACGCTTGGGGAATATATCCATTTCCAGCCAAAAAAAAAACGCAGAAATGCGTTGTGTTCTTGCGCTCTGGTTCGTTGCTGCTGTGGGTCAGATTCAGCTGGTGAAAAAACTACAGTACTACTGAAACTGAAACTACTAGAGCCTAGAGGGAGATTAAGCTAAGTTAATTGCACGAGTAATTACTCCACGGTTGTGTTTAGGGTCTACGTCGGCAGATTTTGCTTTCTGGTAGATCCCTAACCTTATGTTTGTTGGGAATTTTATAAAGGAGCTAAGTTTGCCTATTGATTTGCAATCTACACATATCTCTTGTGTCACAAAACATTGGTGCCTTCACGTCTTTGGTCTCCCCTCTAAAAACTTGCCTGGCGAATTTCACATGAACTTCACACGAAGTCGTTCATTTCTTGCAAGAAGTAGGGAAAAGAATCACTGCTACAAATGGTGTGAAGTAATTCATTTCTTGCAAGAAATAGGAAAATTTCCCTGCTCCAAACTAAAGAGTTTACAAGAAGTAGGGAAAAGAATCACTGCTACAAATGGTGTGAAGTAATTCATTTCTTGCAAGAAATAGGAAAATTTCCCTGCTCCAAACGATAAGAGTTTACAAGCGTCGACCTTGAGCGGATTACTATCTTTGGCATGCTAGTTTGTGGAAACTGAAAGGATTCTGCAACTTACAGTGTGGGACTCCAGTAATATGACGCAGCAAGTTGGCAAAATGGCAATAATTCAGTGATTACTAATGTCCAGCTGCCAAGCACACTGACAGTCCCATCATATCCTAACATCAAACAAGTTTTGGATAATATGAACAACATGAGTTCCTTCAAGCCCCATATCCTAACATCAAACATGTATTGGATAATATGAACCACATAAGACGGAAATCCATCAAGGAAGCAAAGCAACAAGCCTAGAAACAAACAAGGTAAGGAGATAAAATCACGGCAAGATGATCTCCAAGACACGTAATCGAGCCAATCAACTAGACAGGCAGGTTGACACTTGCAACCAAAGATAATATTCACATTCATGTATCATGATCCCAAAGTCAAGACAAGATGTTTGATCGGCACCCATAACATCATGAAATCCCATCAAACGTAAATAGGGTTATATGCATCGCAAAATTCTACTACAAGACACCAAGAAGTTCAACAGAGCATATCTTCATTCTTAAAAGCAAATAGTAGCACAGTATAAAGCATTCTGCAAAACTCAGCACAGTGATCTGCGACGAATAATTTTTTGACAGGAACCACACAGAACAAAGGTCCAGACTAATAATGCTCAGAGCGAGCAAACTTCTACTCATTAGAGTGACAGGGATATAGAATTGGTAGCGCAGGCAGATAGATTGAAAATCCTAGTAACCACCCTTGAGATCATTGACCACATCGTACGGGATGGGGGTGACAGTCTCCAGTGTTGCACCCTCAACCATGAAGCCGGGCTTAGGACCCTGCGGCTGCCTCTTCGTGCTGATGACCTCACCACGAGCCTTGGCATCTGCCTTGAGCTGGTCGTTCTTGATCTTCCTCAGGCGGAACTCCTCAGTGCACCTGGATGGCTGCACATGCTCCACACGGACATGGATCCTCTTCCTGATAATGCGGTTCCCAACCTACCAAGAGATTAACAAACAATCAGTAAAACAGATACATGATTTCAAAAATTAAATAATCCCGAAGACTACATATCCACATGACTGAACATTACACATGCCGACAGCTAACTACATATCTATCCAATTTATCTACACCAACAGAATGTGTTTAGACGGTAGCATGTTATATGATTGAAACATATAACTACACATGCACACAGGATTAAATGAACAATCAGAAGTATATCTTTAAATGCACTTCTCATAACTACATCATAAAACCAAACGGTTAAACTTTCCACATAACCGATAACAATACAATCGACGTAAACTTGAGGATTGATTTGCCACTATCCTACTTGGACGAATGGAAACCTAGAAATGAAATGAACCAAAGCCACAATCACAATAGCTCTACTTCAGTACACAACATTCTCAATACATTTAAAGAGAAAACAAAATCCAAATACTAAAGCACAAAGTAAAATCGCACAAATGTTACCAGTAAATATAACCAGTAAACCATCTAGACTACACTATTTATCAGATCTTACACAACCATGCAAGAGTATGCAATGGCTTCCCATTCCTGCAACTGCAAAAATGAAATTTCATATTGGCACAACTAAACTACATGATTCCAAAGTCACTTGGGGCAAAAACATGACACCAAGTCACTTAAGCGACACAACCACAGATCTATGACAAAGAGGCGGCGCCGCCGCCGGGGTGTTTGGGGATCGGGGGTTATACCTGCTTGTTGATCTCGACGCCGATGGCGCGCTTGGTGACGTTCCAGACGCGGCCGGTGCGGCCGTGGTAGAACTTGTGCGGCATCCCCTTGTGCACGGCGCCGTTCACCTTGACGTCGACGTGCTCGCCGATCTTGTAGGTGCGGAGGTAGGTGGTGAGCGGGATGTACCCCTTCTTCCTGAACGGCCGCGCGAACAGGTCGCGCGTCCGCGCACGCAGCCCGTGGCCCGCCGGCATCCTGGCGGCTCCTCCTCCTGCTTCCCTTCGCGCGGCGGCGGCGGCGGCGGCGGGTGAAGAGGTGGGGTGAGCGTGTGTGCGGCGCTAGGGTTCGCGAGGGTTTGGAGATAGTGCTGCATTTTATAGTTGCGGTTTAGGCTTAGGTTTGCGTCTTGCCGTGGCGGAGTTGGGCTGGGCTCGCAATGTGGGCCTTTTATGGTCCATGAAACAAAGTCTATAGTACATCCCGAATTAAGGCCCATGAGCTGTTCGTCTTCGTCTGGCTCTCAGCCATTCTTTCTGTGCGATCCAAATGAGGGGCTTTTCTGCAGAATAAAGTTGCAAATGTGAGGGCTCTTCTTTCCTTTCTTTGTGTGTTTTTAAGTTATAAAGTGAACTTGAGGGTGTGAAAGAAATATATTTGCATTTTTTTGTTGCTGTACTGGCATCATTGTTAGCTCAATCCTACTTGAAATTAAAAAGGCAAGAGTCCCAAAAAATTTTCGACATATGTGTTCAGTTTTTCTAAGAACCATGCATGTCTAAGATAGGTCTGCAAACTTCACTGATAAGAACATCAGTTCTTGGGATTTGGATGCCGGTAAATAAAAATTACAGGCACTGAAAGTTTCGGAAATTCTTTCTTTGAGATGGAATTCTCCCCTCTTTGAGGTGAAAGTTTCTAAACTTTTTCTTCAACTCGAAAATGTCTGAACTGATCGAGCAATCCATGGAAATGGAATGACGCAATCAGAGGTGACGACGCGACAATGACAACGGGAGCCATCCATGATCCATCCAACTACCCACCAAACAACTCTCGTCGGCTCCACCGGCAGCAGCGAGCGGTAATCACTCGCTCTCACCATGCCGCTCCTCCTCCGCTGCTCGCCGGCGGCGTCACCGCCTCTGCTCCCGCGCCGCCGCAGCGGCTCCCTCCTCTCCGCTGCGCCGCCGGGGCGCCGGCCGCTGCTCCCCGCCGCCGCAGGCCGCGTCGTGGTGAGCTACTGTGATTTGCGCCCTCTGCTCTCCCGCTGCCTTTGGTTGGTCTGACCTGACCTGACTCCTGGCGTGAGGTGTTCTTCTTCTTGCAGCTGGGTTGCGGGCTGGTGACGCTGGACTACCTCGCCACGGTGGACGCGTACCCGCGGCCCGACGACAAGATCCGCAGCGGCGAGCTGCAGGTGACACACCACACCAAACCAAACCCCCCACTTCTTTAGTTCTTCACCAAGAAACATGGGGAAAAGATTGACGTTTCGCTCCTGGCGATTTCTTGGTGTTTCGCCATTGTTGCAGGTGTCTGGAGGTGGCAACGCCGGGAACGCGCTGACAGGAGCCGCCCGCCTGGGCCTCAACACGAGGCTCATCTCCAAGGTAAATTGAATTTAGAGTCATTTTGAAATTAGCATTTACAGTGCAGCATTTACTGAATTGTCAAATTGAGTCATCTATTTGTACAGCATTGCCTAGTTACAAGTACAACCCTGCTGAAGTGCTGATGTTCTCTTTTTTTTTTCATCAGGTGGCAAACGATGAAATTGGAGGAACCGTTCTTTCGGAGCTTAAGGAAGCTGGGATTGATATATCTCATGTTATAGTAAGGCTTGGTTTACAAATATATAATTTCTGCATCTTTGTTCATCAAGCGCTGCAATGCAAGTAATCATGTGTACATCGAGAAGGTAGTAAGGTACAATAAATTGGTAACCAAAATGTCAAGGATTAACAAAAGAAAGATGCACAGTGAAAGATATTGGGGTACTATCAATGCACTGGACTTTCTTCCATGTTATCTTATACCTCATTGTTTTGATGATTCTGCTTTGCAGATTTCTGATGGTGGAAACACAACATTTGTATATGTCATTATTGATAAGCAAACGTAAGAATATTTCTTTTGCATCATTACGATAAGAGAACTAGTTTGTATCTTCATGTAGCAATACATGTAAATGGAACAATTAAAGGCATGCTCCTAGGTTGTAATGATAAGCATTTCTGAAATATTCCAAATGAATTTTCTGGTCACCTTGCACACTCAATCAGGTACATTTCGAATGAAGTTCAACCAATTTTTAGTTTTGTTACACCTATTTATATTAGAGTAACCTGACTTACCTTTTTATATATAAAAACAAGGTGCTTTTATAAATCATGGTTCTCACTTCATTATAAACTTCCCTTTCGGCGCGTACACCGTTCGCTCAGTTATTCTAAAGGACTGGGCATCTAGATCAGATAAAGGAAAAAAATGCATGGAAATAGGGCATATATGCATTTAGTAGATACATGTAAATAAGGATAAAAATTTTACCCTCCAACTGACCCTTTATACTTGACCATTTTGATGTTTGGTCACTACTTTTTTGTTTTGCTGGTTACTGAACATCCTTTATATGGTTGAAGCTGTTAAGCTTGTCTAAGCAATATGGTTATTTAGCCACACTTACTCAATTATTGCTTTTTTACAATAACACTTTCTGGCATCATAGCAAGTTTCTGTGCATATTCATAGAAGGGCCATTTACATTTGCAGAAAAACTCGTACGTGTATAATCACATCAGGGTACCCTCCAATGATACCTAGTGACTTGAGAATGTCAAGTTTGTCAGCTGCACTGCAAGACGTAAGCTTACTATACTTAGATGGATATTCAGATGAGATGGCCTTGGCAGTTGCTAAGCAGGTAAGTTCGTTTGGAGTGTGCAACATTAATCCATTCATGTATCATGTAATGCTTTCACCATGTAGTCTAGGTTGTCCAATCTTCATACATCTTAGTAGTTAGTACTGTCTAGGTAAATTTCAATAATGTAAATGACCTTTGTTTTACAGTAACAGTATCATAAACCTGTAGAGAATTAGATCATATTTTGATTTGTTGCTTGATTAAAACCAGAAATGTACAGGCTGATCAGATGAAGATTCCTATTTTGGTTGATGCCGAACCAGAAAGAACAAGGGAAGAATTGGGAGGTTTGCTCAGCCTAGCAAGTTACATAGTCTGTAATGGGAAATTTCCAGAGGTTTGTGATACATTTTGACAGGCATGAATGGTTTTAAAAGGCATGCTTTAGTAAAGCTGCATTAGTTTTTTTTCCCACTCACTATTTACAGTGACTCTTTACCTACAGAAATGGACATCAGTCCCATCTATTCCCTCTGCACTACTAGAAATCCTTCTGCAATATCCTCGTGCATGCTTCGCAGTTGTAACCCTTGGAGAAAATGGATGCATGATGCTTGAGAGGGGCAAAGATGGTTAGTTTTGATCTTGTCCAGACAATTTTAATTACATGCTGGATAAAGTTTGTGTATAAGTTTTGCCTTTGTGACTTCAACCTATTTATCTGCAGTTCCACTCTTAAATAGGTGAAAATTATGAAACTGAGCCAGTAGATATAGAGAATGTCGCTGAGTCCTTAAGGCTGAAAGTAGATAAAGATGATATCCTGCCAACTTGTGTATCATCTAAGGTATGAGATATTTCTGGCAATCAAAATCGTTTACATTGTTATGTCATCAGAAATGTGAGTAATTTGATGACTGCTTTGGATCTCTTTTACTGCTTTACCTAACCTTTTTCCATTTTACTTTCTAGTTCATGAGACTTACTGCAAGAGGGTCTGGGAATATATTTGCAAGGCTGCTCATAGGAACAGCAGAAAGTATTCCAGCTTCAGAGCTTGTTGATACAACTGGTTGTGGTGATGCATTCATAGGAGCAGTACTTCATGGTGAGCCATTAACTTCTTCCAGAATAACTATTTACTTTCTTCATTATGTCTCCCTGAGGAGACGGGAATTCGACATAAACAGTTATTAAGATTACTACTTCTTTGCTCAAGAATATGATTCTTATATATATGATGCTATTCAAGTATTTTTGTTTTAACTAAATATTAAAATCCAGTTAGCTATCGCCTATCATTAATTATTTATTGTGACCTCAATGTTTCCTCTATTGAATATACTTAGGACTATCCACAGAGATGCCTCCAGAAAAGATGCTGCCTTTTGCTTGCCAAGTGGTATAACAACTTCCTTCATTTACAGAAATGAAACAAAAATACTACTAGTTTTTTTGTTCTTCACTTCTTACCTTGATTGGGATATTTCCTGTTCATGCTTCAGGCAGGCATCAAATGTAGAGCAATCGGCGCACGATCTGGCCTACCATGGCAATCCGATCCACGCCTGACTAAGTACCTGTGTTAGACCTTGTCGAAATTGCGAGGGACAAAAAAAAGATTGTCATTGAATAAATGATCCATGTTTCTACTTTCAAAAAAAAAAAAGATCCATGCTTCAGCTATTGTTCAAAAGTCGACAGGTTGGGACATGGTGATCTCTTTGTAACATAGAGTCATAGACTACCAGGTCAAGGATTGGACTTGTGATTTCTTCCCTTGGAGCTATCATTTGAAGTTCTAGAGCATTATGTTTGGTTTAACAAAACCAATCAGAAACAAAAGTCTTCAGCTCCCTGCTGAATTTAAGGACTTTCAGTTGAATGAATGGGTTGAATAACCGTTGTCAAAGTTCAGATTTTTCATAGCAAAGGTTAACAACTACAAAAATCGAGAAAATTGGCATAATACCATCGTCAAAACAGGTTTCGCCCAAATACCACTATGCAGTTGGGATTCGCCAAAATATCATTCTCAATTGAGGGGCTTCGCCGAAACACCATTTTCTTCCAATTCTCTCTTTCCTTTCATCTTTGCTGACCAAAATGCCCCTAGTTGAATTAATTCAAGTAAAGCAAATATGTAGATTACAGACAAAGTACATATCGTCCAAATATCTTGACATGCAATATATTTTTTTCTTTACACCAAATTACAGAGTATAAGACACTATCTCCACAGCATAAATAAAAAAATAATTACGTATTTTTTATGAGAGTTTCCGTTGATAGTGTCTTTTTTTTTATGTTATGGATATAATACGATGCATACTGTGTAAGAAAAAAATAGCATGTAAAAATATTTTAGCGTATTTACTTTATAATCTACGTATTTTGATATACTTAAATTGATTCAACTAGGGCCATTTTGGTCAATAATGATGAGAGGAAAGAGAGAATTGGAAGAAAATGGCATATGGGTGAAGCCCCTCAATTGAGAATGGTATTTTGGTGAATCCCAATTGCATAGTGGTATTTGGGCGAAACCCCTTTTTGATGATGGTAAAATGTCAATTTTCTCGTTTTTTTTAATGTATGACATTGTTGACTTTTGACGTAATGTTTAACCATTTGTCTTACTAAAAATTATATGAATGTTATTTATTTTGTTAGCACATATTTTATCATCAAATAAAATATAATCTTAACTTATACTTTTATATATTTATACTAAATTTTCAAATAAAACAAATGGCCAAATGCTATGCGAAAAATCAACGGCATCAGCATCATACACATTTATTTATGCCCAGTGCTGCGTCGCCACGTCATCAGCCAGCTGGCAGCCGGTCAACGTGGCTGACCAAGCGCCACCTGCAGGCTGCGGCCGACATGTCCTCTGCCACCGCCGCCGCCGGCGGCCGCTGCCGACATGTCGAGGTGCGGTCCACGACAGCAGCAAGTCGTCGGAAAGTATGCTACTATGTCTTGTTTCCGGCAAGAGATTGCAACTTCTCCGAGAGACCTGGCGAATCCAAACCACTGCATCGTCCATTGTCCATGGCTTCGAGCTCGTCGCCGCCGCCGCCGTGCACGGTGGCCGCCGGCGGCGGCATCGCCGTCGAGAGGAGCCCGCCGGAGTCTCGCCTGTCAGAGCTCGGCGCCAGGTCCTGGCCCAAGTATAAATCTCCCTCCGATACATCATACGCGTATTTTATACGGTGTACAAAATACACGTATTGTACCGTATATATGTACTTGTGTTGTAGGTGGGGCGGTGGTCCGGGGAGGATGGCGCTGAGCTACGGCGCGCGGCAGACGTGCTACATCGTGAGAGGGAAGGTGACGGCGACGGCGACGGCGGCGGCGTCGGCGGCGGAGGGCTCGCCGGAGAATGGGCGGCGCGTCGAGTTCGGCGCCGGCGACATCGTCGTCTTCCCCAAGGGCACACGGTGCACCTGGCACATCGCCGCCGCCGTGGACATGCACTACGCCTTCGACCCTTCCTGACAAGTGGGGCCACCAAAGAAATTATTATCCCCTCTACATGCTGATTTTATTACTGACTCTTAACAAAAGGAATTGTGTACTCTCCCTGTGGTTAACTGGTCATAAATGGAGTATTTGAGTTTAGAATGAGATTCGATTACACTTTTAAAACTTTGGCCATCGGTTTTACATTTAAATAAGTTTATGATATTATGGCAGTACTTTTCAAAGTAACTAATAAGTATTGGAGAAAAATTATTGACGGTCACAATTTCAAATTTTTGACTTAATTTTATCAAATATTTATAGCCGGAGTAACTCATGTCATATAAATGACAAATCTCTACGATAAGAGGAAAAGGAAAGATTTTTACCTCAATGGAGGTAGAACAACGCAAGCATTGGTTTCTTCCTCCTTGCCTTGGTATTCTGCATAGCCAACTCAGCTATTTGTAACACAAATTTCACATTGCAAGGAAAGCTTAAGGCTTTTCAAGAGCAGATCACTCTTTGCCATTATCAAGCAAAAACTATACATTGCTTCGCTGGATCAGCAGTTACTAGAGCCAATCCACACCAGTGCTCAGAAGATTTTGCTTCAGTGCTATGCTACCTGAAACATGCATTCTGGCAATTGGATTATGGAGTTATGGACCATAGATATAGGATTATGGAGTTATGGCCCATAGATATATGATCAACAACAGTTTGGGAATTGAACTTCATCCCTAAAACTTCAGAGCGATAACTGCTAATCTAAGGCCTAGAAGGCCTGTATAGCCGCTACTGTAAACAAGCACCCATGGAAGGAAAAAAAAAACATTTCTACCACTGAACCTACAGAATGTACAAGGAACATCTCTTCCTCTTCCTAGGAAGGAAGCTAACGAACCAGCTTGTCGGTGACGCCAGATTTTATTGTCCTTGGGGTTCAGAAATGCGGAGGTTGTTTGTCAGGGCTCTGCTGAATCCCAATCCTCAAACTCAAAGTCAAATAGAAGATCTAGAGAATCCGATCCTTGCGTGTCTCTCTGATGAGCAGCTTCCATTAGTAATCCGTCCGCAGTGGAACTTACTGAATTATTAAGATGGGATTCATTGGGAACAAGGCTAGGCTGGTGATTGAGGTGAGGCAAAATTTGTGTTGTTTGTGCAAGACAATTGCTGCCTATCATGCCATTGGCCACATTCTGCCCATTACAAGGCATCAAGTTCGCCAATGCCACAACAGGCTCACTGTGAAGACCTACCCCCTGGAATGTAATGGAATCAAGAGGTTGAGAAATAGTCCTGTCTGGCTGCTGAGACTCTGCAGCGCCCATATTGTAATCTGGTACCTCCAGATCAGATGCCAGACTATCAATTATGTCTTGCCAGCTTTTGCTGTAAACATCCAATGCTGGTTCAGGCAGTAATTGTGTTCTCTGAGCCGTAAGAGAAATGCACCGAGAAAATTGTGGTCCTGTACCGTGTGTTCCGTTTGAGGCAGCCTGATAGGACGACGCCGACTGATCTTGTTGCCCTTGAAGCGCTATTGGGGCACTTAGCGATCTCTGAGGGGGATTTTTCTGAACAGTACCAAACAATGTTCTTGGTGCAACTTGAGCTGGCTGGGATGCATGTGGCGAGGATGGCTGGTGCAACTGGGTATTGTTCGGAGCAGCAGAACCAAACTGGTTATCATTTAGAGTTACTATGCCTGGAGAAGTAGCCCCTACTCGTTTGAATCTTGTGCGTGATTGAGGAATCTGAATGCTGGGAGCATTGCTCATACCTCTTCCAGCCCTTGTTGCAGGAGTTGTTCTTGTTGCACTGACAGTTCTCCCTACACTCGGTGAGACTCTTACTGATGTATGTCTTGTTTGAGTTAACCCCTGGTTCACAACATTCGCAAGATGACTTTGGTTGGGAAAGTAAGTAGTCATATGCGATTGTATGAGTGAAATTTCGCACTGTGTATCTTGCTGTACAAATGACGTTGTTGTTGGGTATACGACATTCTGGCGCTTTTCTGGATGAGATGTTGGCAGACCTTTGCTCTTGAATGTATGTCTCATTGCTTTCCACTTTTTTTCCTTATCTGTAGCATGACAATGATCATAAATCTCGGTGCCCTTACCCCAATAATTGCATGGGGCTGGAGTGTCACATACAAAACAGTGGCACTGCATTTGAAAAGCGAACATGGAAATCGTGTCAAAACAAAATCTATAAGCTGCTCCTCTAGTAGATTCACTGGAGGGAAAATTATTTCTTACTTACCATGCTACAATACTTCACATGAGAAGTGGTGCTGAAGGGCAAGTTAGAACATAAATGGCGGGAATGAGGGAAGTCCCTGCATGCTACCTGTGGATAAATAGACAACTACTAGTTAAGGAAAATAACAAAAGAAATGAATGCTACTACATGTCCACTCCACACTGTGGTTTCTGTTAAAAAGCTAGCATGAAATTTATCATTTCGTTATTACAAGTGACATGAACTAGAGGTACATGTATTCATAGACAAATAGGCAAGTACAGATGGGGAAAGAAACACATGCACTTAAATCAAACCACTTCCACGCTATCCAATGTATTTGAATCTGAATTCCACATCACTGAACAAAGGAGATCAAACTAAACTATGCAATGAGTAAATAAGCCTTCAAATGAAATCAGAACAATATAGTAATTCAAAGTTCAGATCATAACAAAATGACTTATTACGAACAGTTTCCCCCAATTACGAGAACATTTCATCTCTATATACATAGCCTACAAACATAACAATTGAGCTGCTCCTATTTCATGCACAGAATGCAATAAATACAGATCAAAATTTTAGTAATAAGCAATTAAGCCAAAATACCGGGCCTTTCTCTGCGACGATCTGCAATTCATCCGAGCTGCCATCTCCCTCACTCCCTTTCTCCCCCGCGACAGCGACAACATCATCAGGATCCCCATCCAGCACCACGCAATCATCGTCGTCTTCCTCGCCGCCGCAATCGGGCTTGCCCCCCTTCTGCTGCGCCATCACCGGCGGCGCCGACAGCTCACTCATCACCTCCAGATCATCGAACTCATCCGACAAAGCCCTCTCATCCTCCTCTCTAAGAAGGTCCGCAATCCACCCGAGGGAGTCGACGGACGCCTTCTTGGTCGTCGTCGCCACCGCCACCGCCGCCGCGGCGAAGCCCTCCTCGTCGGAGCTGATGTCCACCACATCCATCGCTGACCCCATCCGCTCGGATTCCGATCGGATTAGCAAGAACCGGATCCGAGAAACCCTCCCCGGCCCAGGATGTCGCCGGCCGCCACGGATCCAGGACGAGAGGCGGCTCCCAAGAAACTCCACCAAGAACACGCCTTGCCCATCAAACGCGCAGCGCGATCTTGCGCTCCACCAGCCGCCGCCGGAAAAGATCGAATTCTGGCGCGATTTGGGGGGTGAGGAAAGCGAAGCAGCTGCCTGCAAGCCAAGAAATCGTGATGAGGGAGAAGAGCACGAAATCATCATCAGAAGTGAAGAAAAAAATAGAAAAAAAAAAGGGGATTAAACCGCGCGCGAGTGGAAGCCAAGTCAGACTCCAAATGCTCTCCCGATTAAAGCGGCGCGAAGACTCGCAACAAAGAAGAAGAAAAAAAAAAGTCTCGAGCAAAATCGCCAACCGAATCGGCAGCAGGAGGAAGAGAAGAGAAGAGAAGCGAGCAACCAACCTCACCTCAAGAAGAAGCCCTCTTCTCCGCCATGGCCTTTTCTTCTTCTTGCTCTCGCGTCAGGAGCAGAAAGCAGGGGGAGAAGCTAACTGCTCCTGGAGGGTGGAGTACTGGAGTATAGAGAGAAGAAAGAAGAAAATACCGAGAGAAATTAATTTCTCGCGCTCAAAAACGTGGATTTTATACGTCGTCGTGCTTGGTTTTCCGATGGGCGAAAAGCCGTTGCTTTGCTTTGCTCTTTTTTTTTTCTTTTTTTCTTTTTTTTTTACCGAGTGGAAATGGCATCGTGCATTCGTGCTCTTAGAGGGTTTAGGGTTTCCGGGTTTAGAGGGTTGGATTCATTTCCGGGATGAGCAGATGGATCCGCTTTGACTTGGCCTAATCTCAAAGTCTCGGTGCTAAACTGCTAATGAGTGGATATTGGATATTAGGATGAATATCATCCGAGAATCCAATATAAAAGATGGTGTAGTTGCATAATCAATTAGGAGCAGTTAGAATATAGAAAGAGTAAAGTCCATCACCGGTCCACCGTTGTATCATCTCGGTCCCTAAACTAGCAAATCGACTGTTCAGGTTCTCAAACTTGTTCGACAGTATTATCCTGGTCCCTAAATTTGCAGATCACTCGTTTAAATACTCTAACTTATTCAGTTGTGTCACCCCAGTCCCTAAACTTGTATTTGAATATCATCTGGGTCAAATAGAACTGTCTAAAAACTTTATATTTAAAAATAATTTATAACTTTTTCATGTGAATTCTAATGAAGATAAACTTTATATCAAACTTACAGTCCTCGACGCGATCTACAACTTTGTAGTTGATTTTTTTTATTTTAAGTCATTTTTTGTCCCAAAATGTAATTTTAAAATTAAAATTTCAAAATATATAAACATGCAACAATATTTTGGGACCCTAAACAGTTTTAATTCAAAAACTTTTCAACTATAAAGTTGTAGGTCACGTCTAGAGCTACAATTTTGATATAAAGATTGTCTTCATTAGAGTTCACATGAAAAAGTTATGAATTATTTTTTGATATAAAATTTTTAGACCGTCCTGTTTAGGGACCGGGGTAACACAACTGAACAAGTTGGAGGACCTAAACGAGTGATCTGTAAGTTTAGGGACTGGGATGATACAGTCGAACAAGTCTGAGGATCTGAATGGTCGATTTTACGAGTTTAGGGACCGGGATGACACAGCGGTACAAGTTTAGGGACCGGTGATGGACTTTACTCATCTAGAAATGTAGGCTGCTGGTTGTACTAATAGAGAAGGATCGACAAGTTTTTGAGGGTAAGAAATTTATATTAATACAATACTTCATCTGTTCTAAAATCTATTTTTTTTTGTAATCTCATCCGTAGTAGTAAGATTGTTGAATTTGTTATTAAGTTGTTATATTTTAAAAACGAAGGGAGTAGAATTTATGCTTAAGTAGAAAATATTTTGATAGATTTATGAAATGACATAATGATTAGGATTCAACATAAGAACATATATTTTTTTAAGAAACCATAAGAACATATTTGAGAGGGATATAATCGGTGGAGAAAATACTCTAAATAGCGCTTGAAGTATTTATATTTTAGTGTAAATTTTAAATGCCAGAAGTGTTCATATTTTAGAATGGAAGGAGTAGTGATGAAAATTCCGTGAGCTCATAGTTTGGGCACCAACCATAGTAAAAAGGATCATATTCGGCAACCATAGTAGCATATCATTGGTTGTAGGCTTGTAGCGGCAGCCACTCTACTGCTTTTTTATGTTTTTAGTTATTTTTTTCATCCTTAGTAGCTTTTATAAGCATCCGGTCTCTTTTTAACTCAACACAAAACGTATAATATGTTGGCCGATGAGGCTCATCCTAAATGAGGAAAATATATGATGCAAACTATACATATATACATATATTGTAAATCCGAAAACTACTTCTAGATATGTAAATGGGTGTTTAAGATTTATCCATATTATCTTGAGTAAATCTTTTTACTCTTAGATTTAATCGTAGAGAGTAAAAATTTTAGTCGAGATGACCTGAGCAAATCAAACGCAATTAGATCTATAATATATAAATTTTTAGACTTTCATTTGTGTATCTTATCTTAATTTTTAGATCTGTAAAATATATTTTTCTCAAATGGGTTATAGAGCTATAGAGAAGTAACCAATACGTAAAGTATTTACTTTATTCCTTTATTACTTTTAAGTGAACGTGTCATTCTTTTACTTCAATGGTTTTAGTTTTATTTTCATTTTTTAGCATATACAAAAGAATTATTAGAGTGGTTTATAATTCACAGCTTAGACTTTGGTCAATAAGACAAACATGTAGTGTTGGTATTTCCTCCGTTCCATAATATAAGGGATTTTGACTTTTTGCTTATATTGTTTGACCATTCGTCTTATTTAAAAACATTTAGAATTATTATTTATTTTATTTGTGACTTACTTTATTATCCAAAATACTTTAAGCACAATTTTTCTTTTTTATATTTGCACAAATTTTTAGAATAAGACGAGTGGTCAAATAGTGTAAGAAAAAGTCAAAATCCCTTATATTATATGACGGAGGAAGCACATAATAATGATGTTCATTTCAAAAGTCAATAGTTTGTGCCAAATCAATTAAACACATGCTCGGATTATCTTTTTTTAAAAAAAATTTAAGCACCGCTGCCAATTTTCTTTGCATTTTTTTAAAAAAAAATCGTGAGGAAGAAAAAAAAAAACTCCTCAGCCTTTGCCTTGGTGCCGGCCGCCGCAGTGGCATTCTGCCGAACACCTCGCCGGCGCCGCCGTCTCCCCCGTATCCCGGCGACAACCCCCCCCCCCCCCCTCTCCCCAACCCCCGGGGTCCACGGGCACAATGGTGCACAGGTTCTTCTCCTGCACGGGCGCCACCCGGCCGCCGGCGCCCGAGAACGCTGACATCACCCTCGTCTCGGGCCCTTCGTGCTGGTACGCGTCTCGTACTCTCGTCTCACAGCTCCTTTTCCACCATGAATCAAACCGAAGCTGTTTGTCGAATCCCGTGCGTTCCGTGTCCCATCCCCGATGCTGCGGCTTGGCTCACTCCGCTCTTGCTCCGATTTCGCCGCCTCTCCTGGTGCTAGAACAGCGGGAAGACGTCGCTTCTCTTCCAGTTCGCGATAAACCGCGCGACGGAGAGTGGACGAGGCGTGGTGTTCATCTGCAGGAAGGGGAGACTGGAGAATAGCCCCCCGTTCTTGTCCCAGGTGAGCGATTGTTCTCTACTCGTGCTCTGGAATCTTGGGTTACAAAATCTCACCTGCTCCTCATTTGTGAAGCTAAATCTTACTCTTATTTCTTTCTTTCAGGGTATTGATCTATCACACAGCGTGCTTCAGAGAATCCATATCAAGTATGAGATCTCTCTAGTTACATTTTATTTACTATTGATGATTTGTGAGATTTGCATGCTATTGTCAGCTAAGCATATGGTCTGTGATCGTATTGAAATGCCTATTTGTGTTACTTCATGACAAAAAGATGGGGATTTATGCTCTAATTTATGTACTCCGTGCTTGTAGATACATTGAAGATGATGAGGGCATCAGAAAGTACTTCGCGGCATTTCATCTGCTTGGCAGCTTCCCTGCTGCAGTAATTATTGATGATTTTGCAGATTTCTTCTCAGAAAGGTGTGTTTTTAATTTTGTCTTGTCGTCCTGCTTGATCATTCTAGATTTTTTTTTTTTTGGTCTCAATAATCTCAGCTGAGAATTCTGGGCACCTGTAGTTGTGATAATGATGATCCAAGTCCTTACGTGCAGAATGTTTGGTGTAGACTTCTGTTAGGTCTGTATGCTCCATTATGATATGGCTATTAGTTGTTCTACTGAATGATGCATTAGACCACCTGCTGCACAAATTTATTTTAGGGATTTTCTGATCTTTCTGAGAAAACTAGGTTTGATCTACATCATCAAAGCGAGAACTTTATACACTATAGTAATTGACTTGAATTATGTATGGTGTGCATTCCCAATTTTTGGTATGACTAGTTCTGACAATACTGAAACTATAGGAGCTGTCAGCAAAGATATGGAAATGCTAGGGCTCGGGATCTAGCAGTGGTTCGCATATTAGCTCTGTGTCAAAATGCTGTTGCGCATGCAAAGTGAGTGATAAATTCAATGCCAGATCTTTAAACTTCTGCATGTTCCTATGTTCCTGAGAATAAACATCTCAATCTCTATCCTAGCACAAAGCTCGGAGTCCCTGGGTCTTGTAATCTCTTGCTCTCTGATGTTCATCAAGGTGACACCCCAAGATCCATGTTCATTTACAAGAGGTGGATAAGTTCAATATATACAATCCAAGGTAAATCTTACAAGATATCTGATGTACAGTGCCGGTTGTCATTTTATTGTTCACCCATATTTTGTTAAGTAAACCTTTTGTTTCTATTGCTATTCATCGGCTCTTTGTTTCACATTAACAGAGAACATCTTGTGCTTGCATATAATTCTTTTTAGTTTGGACATTTACTCGTTGCATTTTATATCCATCTTTGAAATCTTATTTGATGAGGTACCCTCTTGGTTCATTCACTGTAGTAACAAAATATATAGATGAGATACCCTCTTGGTTTCATTCACTGCACTTACATAGATGGCATGACAGTCAAGATACTTCTCATTTTAGTTTGTATCCGTCTTAGAAAGTTTTGTTTGATGAGACTGCTATGAATACCAACTAAATTGTCCAAAACTGTAAATGACTGATTCACTTTATTTGTTTCATTTCTTTGTGCTATGTCAGTTTCTAGTCTATGATAGTTCATGGCTATCAATCTAAATCTTTTTGTTTCTTCCCGTTATGTTTGCACGATTTAATTTGGCTTCCTTAGGTGATGGGCATGGATCCTACATACTCAAGAGCATTAGCAGTTCAGATTGTGGGTCCAGGGAAGGAAGAGCAGCCAAGTACTCAATAGCACTGCAATATCTTGTGCTTGAACATATCAGCAATGGATAGATCATATTTTCTACTGTTTGGTCCCAGTACCCAAACATGTACAATCATAACCTTGGAGAAGCAGAAAAAAAGACTGTTCCAGCTAGTTTGGTATGCACGAAGAGTATCAATTTCAACTGGCACAAATGTGTTCATTGTAAACGAGAACTGCATCCTTAATTGAATGTATGTCTATTTATGAATTAGAGCCAACCCGAAAACAAGCCGCTACTGGGTGAATAGATTCTGTTCTTCTAGTTCATTTTTATCTCAGATAAAGGGCAGTCAGATTAATGTATACGAATTTGAACTTCTGGGGAATACATTCGTTTGATCTCCCAGTGAATGTTTTCTACCAAGTAATTTTTGCTCGATTTCCTTTTTTTAGAAAATAACAGAAAGTAATTTTGTTCGGTCTTCAACTCACTAGGTGAACAAAAAGTAAATTTGTTCGATTTCCTTTTCAAAAAAGAACAAAAAGTAATTTTTGCACGGTTTCTCTTCAACTCATATGAACAAAAATTAAATTTGCTTGGTTTCTCTTGAACTCACTTGGACAGCAAGATGACTTTTCAAAGAAGAACAAAAAGTAATTTTTGCTCGGTTTCTCTTCAACTCACATGAACAAAAAATAAATTTGCTCGGTTTCTCTTAAACTCACTTGGACAGCAAGATGAACAATGAATGTAGGTTGTAGAATGGAGGATTTTTTTTAAAAAAAAAAAAGAAAGAAAAACCTGGAAAAACCCGACAACCTACTCATTGAGTTCTTTGTAGTAAAACAGCGTGAAGATTTGGATTAAAGTTGAAACTGCAAGCACATCATAATGGGCAGTGGAAGGCAAGCTAGATGAATCTTATGACCAGATTTCCGGAAGAATCACAGATTAACTGGAAAACTATCCTGCTTATATGAGCAAATGCTGCATTACAGGTTGTTCACTCAAAGGTTCACCCAGACTTGATGAGTCCATCATCAGAGAAATCTATTATTTTCATTGTACCATCACCACATTGAACAAATTGACATCGGTGAGAACGATTTGTGGGAACTACATGTTTCAGATCAGAATTGCAGAGAGAAAAAAGGCTGTGCTGAAGGCAATTTCAGAGGCATGGAACTCTCAAGATCTCTGCTCAATAAACCAGGACACAATTTACTTCCCCAACTAAAAATTAGTAATACACAAAATCATTAAGCAACTCACCAACTCCCCTCATGACAAAGATGGGGCCAAGCAGCTCATAGATCTTTAACAATCTCAATGCCCATGGAGTTGGCTGTGCCAATGATTGACTTGCACAGCGCCTCGAGTGACATGTGCTTGCAGTAGGGATCAGATTGCTTCAATTTCGCGATCTCGTAGACATGGCGAAGTGAAAGGGATGACACTACAGTGTGCCCTGGACGGCCGCTGGCTGTCTCAATCCCGGCGGCCTTCTTGAGGAACCATGAGACAGATGGTGACTTGACTACAAACTCGAATGTGCTGTCCTTGTAGGCAGTTAAGGTAACCTGCATAGGAGTTTCTGCCTTATACTTCTGAGTCCTGGCATTGAAATCCTTGCAGAACGCCATCAGGTTCAGCCTGTAGAAACCTAGCGCTGGACCAACTGGTGGCGCAGGGCGGGCGGCACCAGCTGGAACGATAAGGCGGATTGTTGCCAACACAGGCTTCCGTGCAACTGCATCTTTCAGAGTGGTTGCCATGCCGTAGGCTTATGAAGATCTGAACCGAAACAAGACCCTCCATCAAAACCATTAATGTTCAACAAAAACCAGCAGGAAATAACATGAAAGAGAAGTCAGAGAAATATTTGTTGATAACTCGAACGCAACATCAGACTTCTATTATACAAGGGAGTTTATTGTTGGCATTCTCCTAGAGAACTTCTCTATTATTGAATGAAAAAACTTGTCATTAATTTACACAGCTTCTAATGCCTCTCAGGAGTTAAAACTTCAGAAAGGAGTACTTTCATCGTCTCCTGTCACCTCTATGCTGCATTATACAAGGGACTTCACTATAGAAAGGTAAATCAGCACCGAAACCCTGAAAATGATGAGCTGTTTGAAAGAAAGAAAGCTACAAACTATCCTTATTTTAGCACTTCAATTATATATTCATATCAATTCTCTTAAGGCACAGCGGTTTCAGAGTTCCTTACCAATCTCTCTCTTAAGGACATAGCGGTTTCAACCATACCCATTTCCACAAGAATCACATATTATCACTTCAATCTATTTGATACGGAGCACAGAAGGAAAAACATCACAGAAAAAAAAGCGCAATCAACCAACCCGATCCCCTCCACACCCTCTACGCCCTAAACCACCAGAGTAACTAGAACCAACGAGGAGAGAGGGAGAGCACCACGAGCTAATCCGACCTAGGTGAAGACGGGAAGGGGGGCTGCTATGTGAGAGGGGAGGGAGTGGTACCTCCGGTACGACGGCGGCGGCGGCGGCGCTCCGGGACGGCGGCGGCGGAGGATCCTCCGGGATGGATCGAATCGACTTGTTGTGTGTCTGTGAGTGGGATGGCTGCGCCTCTCTCTTTGTTAGGGTTTTAGTTGAGGCCCACACGAGGCCCATTACTGATCCACTCGACAATTTCAGCCCATGCCAGAACATATTTCATCCACCATCCGATTTATATCCAACGGCCATAGTTTGATCTTTGAATTAAAATTTGATCACATATAAGGATTTACCTTCCTGGCCCACATTTCATTGAGCTTGTTATGACCCCACATGTTAGTGGCACGGGAGAGTCCTCATTATTCTTTTGTTTGAAATTGAGGATTTACCCTCCTTGCCCACATTTCAGTGAGCTTATGTGACCACGCTTGTCGGTGGCACGGAAAGGTCCTCAATATACTTAGTCTGCCTTGATGTACTGTTCAAGGTAATTCGGATGCTGCCAGATTTCTCAGATTAGACGACTAATTAGTTAACCATCAAACCATTCCTTAATATCGCGCCAGCAACTTTGAGAAATGAATAAACGAGCGTTAGTGCATGGACATTACGTAACCACAAATTTAAACACATTCTAGATTTCATTGGCATGTCCGCAAGTCGAGCACTTCAGCATTGTATTCATCTCCAAAACAAACCGTATCCTCATTAGGTAGTAAGGCCTACAAATACAATAACAATGTCAAATTTGTTTACATCGACCAAAGCCCACCAAATTGCTCCTGCAAGGAACTTCTCGTCTCCCGTTGTTATGTGCCTCCAATCTCAGCCAGCTCATCCACCGTCAAAACACACAAACAGGGAGCAATTTACGCAGGCCAAATGAAGTACAATTGGTTTCATCACTCTTCCGATGGCTTTGCGTCGTCCATTTGATCATCTTCTCCCGGATGCCCAAATATCCGTAGGTTACGATCCATAGAACCTACGGCAATGTACTTCGCATCGGTGCCAAACTTGACGTTTGTCACTTTCCCTGAGAAAAGTGTACGCCACAGAAACCAAATTAGTTAAGTGCAAGCACAGATGCCAATCACGAACCGAGAATGTGGGCCATAAGAAAGGGACGAACCTGTGCCTGACAAATCTGGTAAGGTCTTGACAAGATTCCATTCAAGCTTAACATTTGCTACTTGGTAAACCCTGAAGGCCAAACAGAGGAGGTATCAAATATAAAAGTTTACGGTATAACATTTGCACCAAAAGGTCAGACTTGCAGGTTTTGAGAAAATACCTTGTATCTGAACCACCAACAGCTAGATAACTTCCGCTAAAGTCAAATTCCACTGTAAGATAAACAAAAAAACATTCATGCATCATATGATTAATGGAACTCCAGTACAAATAACAAAAATGGAATGAGATGTCCTTCCAGCTACAATCAAAATCCTAGAAAGCAAGATATATCTAGGGTGAATGATCAACATAATCTCGCTTGTTGGCTATATCTATACACACATCGAAGCACATGCACCATTCACAATTTACTGTGAGTGTGGAGCATGCGCAAAGTTCCTTACCAGAATTTGTTGGCGTGTCTGAGTCATAAGGTGATATCGTCCTAAAGTTTCTTAATTTTCGAAGATCCCAAAGCTTGACTCCATCGAGAGCAGCAGTCTGTACAGTGATGATACATATATCAGAATAAAAAAGAAATTCAACATTTTGCAGATTGCACTATGGAGAGATTCATACCGCAAGGAAGTAACCATTTTCAGAGAAGGACATAGCAGTCACTGGTCCAACATGCCCCTCAAACTTTGCAACATTTGACTAGAGAAAAAAGATGATTGTTAGCAAGGTATTTCAAGAGCAGACATGCATGAACACCTGAAAAAAGAACTTGAATGAGTTGCCGGAGTATCACACCTGCGTCTTCACATCCCAAATTTTGACAACAGCTTCAGTGGTCCCTGTCCCCAGGATAAGACCATCTGGGTGGAAAGATGCAGATGTATATCCCTCTTGTCCTGAAGACTCGCCAACCTGAGTAAAGAAAAGGTATTCATTAACTCATAAACATCTTGGGAGCTAACAGACAAAGCATGTATAAGTACATGGATGAATGGGAGCAGGTTACATGAGAAAGATAATGGAGTAAACCTGTGTGAGGCAAGATCCTGATGGAATATCGTAGAAGCACCAAGTATTATCCTTGGAAGCAGTCACAAAGTACTTCTGAGTCGCATGGACTGTAACAGCTTCAACCTGACAGATTTTTGTAAAACAAATAAGTTTGAAACAATAGAATTTGAATTGAAACATTTTATATTACCAATTGAAATATTACAATATAAAATATGGTAAAAGTTGCCCTGTTTGATTTATATTACTGAGTTATTACCATGGATTATCTATATAAATTAAATATTTTTAAAAATAAACTCAATAAATAGCTTAAAATAAGTTATCTAAGAAATGCAGCAAAAGAAATTTTTTTGAGAAGATGTATTTTCCAAAGTATATAGCAAATAATCCATTTCAATAATCCAGTGCAGAGAATAATCTGTAAAGAACAAGGGCCTTAAGGGCAATGATGGGGCATGTTCACATGTTTTGTAACTGTGAAGAGGGCCTTTAAGGACAATGGTGGGGCATTTTCACATGTTTTGTAACTGTGAAACATGAATGGACCAGAGTAGCTAACGGTACAAATGATAAAGAAAATTTGATGAAAGAACTGCATTTGCAGTATGACTTGAGTTTTGAGTATCATAGCTCAACATGCCAAAATGTGTTATAATCATATTTGTGACAAATCCTTGATAGATAGAAATTTCATAAATATTTTCAATTTTACTGTAACAGAAATTTAGAAGCCACAGAAAGGAAATATGACTGTATGCATGCAAGAAGAATACCAGCTATCCAGCAATCTGTAATTCCAATATCCAAAAACATAAAATGGCAAAGAATGTGAAGTTATTTTGCAGAAGAATATCCACGCAATTGCTAACCTCGGCAGTGTGATCTTTCAATGTATGGATGCAATTGTAATTTCCCTCCTCGCTTCCTTGCCAAATTTTAACAGTCTGCATAATTTGCAAACAACTCAGAGAAGAATAAACAGCACAACCTAATCATCAGATAGTCGGACCAGTGACTGCAAACATGCTCAACCTAATCAAGTACTGCAGGAAATGATGCAATCAATTTTACTAGCAAAATCAAAACTTGATTATTGCATCAAATTTATGTGACTAATTAATCTATCAGAGAATGGCATACCTTATCTGCTGATCCAGTTACAAAGAGCTCATCCCGAGGAACAAATTTCAAACTGGTTATCTATATATATGAAGGTTCCAATGTTAACATAAATTTTAGAGATAGATTAAAAATCAATTGAGTGCATCTAAATCATCAAAATAAAATGAGGGAAAACCTTCTTTGAGTGACCAGTAAGTGTGCACAAGATTTGACCGGATGGCCTGTCAAAAAGCACTGCGTTTGTATCAATGCCACCAGTTGCAATAATGTCCTGTTAATCCAGAATAAGAACAAAGTAAAATAATAAGTATTTAAATCACCGTTTGCCATCAAATTATCAACATTAAATCCAAGACGAATCAAACAGATAACAAAATAAAACAAACTACATGTGAACCAAGCTTTTCAGGAGAGCATCATGTTGCAGGTACAAATAGAAGTATTAGTGATATAATTATTCAATTAATGTGAAATCTTACACCTAATTGAACTGAAAAGGATAAGACCACAGAGTATATGATATTCAAAGCAAGGTACACTAAAAACATAAAAGACAGACCTTTGAAGGATGAATATCCATAGATAAGATGCCTGGTTTGTTTGTCTTGTGAAGTGGATGACTGGAGATCTGGGTATATCTCTCAATTGCATCAATTGATGCCAAAGTTGGAGGAACCTGTGAGAAAATGTAGAGAACTGTTATCTCATTTCAAAAGTAAGGTGTAAAGATGGCAACAAACACTGAGAAATAATGTCCTGGCGAGATGAGCTAGCATTCTTGAGATAATCTTAACTATTGGATAAAAACATTAATGCATGTTTTAGACCTTGTTTGTAGCATAACTATGAATACAGATATGTACCTGTCGTTTCTTACGATGCGCAGAGAGCATGGTATTACACTCTGTTAGTTCATCAATCATCACAGGGTTGATACCAGGACGAATCTTCTTCCCGTCTGGTCCAACTTCATCTTCAAATGCTGAATCCAACAATGCAGAACTATGAGAAGGCTGAAATTATATGTAGAAATTTACTTCAACAACTTCAAACAGTCAGAAAGTAGGTACCTCTTTTCCCGTTGGAGACAACAGCTGTAGGTGCAGCTCCTGCCATCGATGCAGGAATCTGTCTCTCAGCTTGAGCCAAAAGTGCTCTGGCTTCATCTCGTTCTTTCTTTAATCTAGCTATAACACGGCAGGCAGCATCATGCTGGAAAAGGGACATAAAACAACTAAACAGATCAGATTACAGGATAATGAATGTTCTTAAAAGCAAAAGTGTTAACTAAAAGAGCATTTCATTAAAACGGTATTCAGCATTTAACCCATAATAGAGCTGTTTAATCAAGCGCTGAAAAAAAAATGTAGCTGTAAAGACAAGCAATGCCTTAACAAAGCTTGGTACTTCAGACCTTTTCCTCAATAACTTACAAGTAGTTTTTTAACATATCAACTTGCAGTAATAATACTTCATTGGCCCTGTTTGGATCCAAGGGATATTTTTTAGCCCTCCCTCCAATAGCCCAAATAGCCCAAAAAGATCCAAAAGGGTGAGCTATTTGAGGGCTATTTGGAAATAACCCACCCAAAAAAAACTATCCCACCCAAGGGGTGCTAATTGGGGCTATTTCGGGTGGGGGCCCACTGAAAAAGTGTCTTCTCTCTATCTCTCTCCATGGGAAGCTACATTAAAGGCCAAATAGCTCTCAAAATAACCCTTTGATCCAAACAACTTAGGGCTATTTTATTGGAGGGCTATTTCCTTGTGCTAAAAAATAGCTCTCAAAATAACTTTTGGCTAGTTCTCCAAACAGGGCTATTGTTTTCAAGCTCAAACCAGACTGCCTAGAGCAAAAAAACAACCTAAATATCACCAGTTATATGGTATGCACAAGAACCCAG